AACAACAAAAAACATAAATGAATAAATAAATAAATAAATAAATAAATAAATAAATAAATAAATAAATAAAATAAAAAAAGTAAAAATAAAAAATGTTCAAACCAAATTACTTTCACAATTACGAGCTAATGTGTGTATGTGTGTGTGTGTGTGTGTGTGTGTGTGTGTGTGTGTACATTTATACCATGGATCATGCCTACCAATCGATATATATATAAATATATATACAGATATACCCCGAGTAATACCAACTAGTCTGTGCATGAATGTAAATAGATGTACATAAGCATAGATACATGTATATGTACATTTATACCACGAGTCATGCCATACAAGCATAGATACATATGTATGCACAATTATATCACGAGTCAAGCCACACAAGCATAGATACATGAATATGTACATTTATACCACGGGTCATGCCATACAAGCACCGTGTGTGTGTGTGTGTACATTTATACCATGGATCATGCCTACCAATCGATATATATATAAATATATATACAGATATACCCCGAGTAATACCAACTAGTCTGTGCATGAATGTAAATAGATGTACATAAGCATAGATACATGTATATGTACATTTATACCACGAGTCATGCCATACAAGCATAGATACATATGTATGCACAATTATTTCACGAGTCAAGCCACACAAGCATAGATACATGTATATGTACATTTATACTACCAGTCATGTCATACAAGCACAGAGACATGTATATATACATTTATACTACGAGTCATGCCATACAAGCACAGAGACATGTATATATACATTTATACCACGAGTCATGCCATACAAGCACCGAGACATGTATATGTACATTTATACCACGAGTCATGCCATACAAGCACAGAGACATGTATATACACATTTATACCACGAGTCATGCCATACAAGCACAGAGACATGTATATGTACATCATACAAGCACAGAGACATGTATATATACATTTATACTACCAGTCATGCCATACAAGCACAGAGACATGTATATATACATTTATACTACCAGTCATGCCATACAAGCACAGAGACATGTATATGTACATTTATACTACCAGTCATGCCATACAAGCACAGAGACATGTATATATACATTTATACTACGAGTCATGCCATACAAGCACAGAGACATGTATATATACATTTATACTACCAGTCATGCCATACAAGCACAGAGACATGTACATGTACATTTATACTACCAGTCATGCCATACAAGCACAGAGACATGTATATATACATTTATACTACCAGTCATGCCATACAAGCACAGAGACATGTATATATACATTTATACTACCAGTCATGCCATACAAGCACAGATACATGTATATGTACATTTATACTACCAGTCATGCCATACAAGCACAGAGACATGTATATATACATTTATACTACCAGTCATGCCATAGAAGCACCGAGACATGTATATGTACATTTATACTACCAGTCATGCCATACAAGCACAGAGACATGTATATATACATTTATACTACCAGTCATGCCATACAAGCACAGAGACATGTATATGTACATTTATACCACAAGTCATGCCATACAAGCACAGAGACATGTATATATACATTTATACTACCAGTCATGCCATACAAGCACAGAGACATGTATATATACATTTATACTACCAGTCATGCCATACAAGCACAGATACATGTATATGTACATTTATACTACCAGTCATGCCATACAAGCACAGAGACATGTATATGTACATTTATACCACGAGTCATGCCATACAAGCACAGAGACATGTATATGTACATCATACAAGCACAGAGACATGTATATGTACATTTATACTACCAGTCATGCCATACAAGCACAGAGACATGTATATATACATTTATACTACGAGTCATGCCATACAAGCACAGAGACATGTATATGTACATTTATACTACCAGTCATGCCATACAAGCACAGAGACATGTATATGTACATTATACCACGAGTCATGTCATACAAGCACAGAGACATGTATATGTACATTTATACTACCAGTCATGCCATACAAGCACAGAGACATGTATATGTACATTTATACTACCAGTCATGCCATACAAGCACAGAGACATGTATATGTACATTTATACTACCAGTCATGCCATACAAGCACAGAGACATGTATATGTACATTTATACCACGAGTCATGCCATACAAGCACAGAGACATGTATATATACATTTATACTACCAGTCATGCCATACAAGCACAGAGACATGTATATGTACATTTAAACTACGAGTCATGCCATACAAGCACCGAGACATGTATATGTATATTTATACTACGAGTCAAGCCACACAAGCATGCATAGATACATGTATATGTACATTTATACCTCGAGTCAAGCCACACAAGCATGCACAGATACATGTATATGCACATTTATACCGCGAGTCATGCCATACAAGCATAGAGATACATGTATATGTACATTAATACCACGAGCAATGCCTACTGTCTATACAAGCATAGATATACATGTATATGTACATTAATACCACGAGCAATGCCTACTGTCCATACAAACATAGATACATGTATGTGTACATTAATACCTCGAGCAATGCCTACTGTGCATACAAGCAGAGATACATGTATGTGTACATCAATACCACGAGCATGCCTACTGTCCATACAAGCAGAGATACATGTATGTGTACATCAATACCACGAGCAATGCCTACTGTCTATACAAGCAGAGATACATGTGTGTGTACATCAATACCACGAGCAATGCCTACTGTCTATACAAGCAGAGATACATGTATGTGTACATTAATACCACGAGCAATGCCTACTGTCTATACAAGCAGAGATACATGTATGTGAACATCAATACCACGAGCAATGCCTACTGTCTATACAAGCAGAGATACATGTATGTGTACATCAATACCACGAGCAATGCCTACTGTCTATACAAGCAGAGATACATGTATGTGTACATCAATACCACGAGTAATGCCTATCGTCCATACAAGCATAGAGACGCATGTATGTGCACATAAATACCTGCAGTAATGATGTTGTCTATGCAAGCATAGAGATACATGTATGTGTACATTAATACCTCGAGTAATGCCTACTGTCAATACAAGCATAGAGATGCATGTATGTTTACATTAATACCACGAGCAATGCCTACTGTCCATGCAAGCAGAGATACATGTATGTGAACATCAATACCACGAGCAATGCCTACTGTCTATACAAGCAGAGATACATGTATGTTTACATTAATACCCCGAGTCATGCCTACCAATCTATGCAAGTATAATACATTTATGTACATTAATACTTCAAATAATGCCTACTGTCCATACAAGCATAGAGATACATTTATATGTACATTAATACCTCGAGTAATGCCTACTATCCATACACGCATAGATATACATGTATGTGTGCATTAACACCTCATCAAAGTGGTAAACATCTGAGACCGGCGTCCCGTTTGGCTTTCCTCCTATGTGAAGCTGTCACGCCTGGACAAAACTGCATTACTCTTGAAGCGGCGTTAACCCAACTCACACATCCATCCTCCCATGTATGCCCGTGAACAATACGTCCGTCCCTAACCTTCGCATAAGCAATGGTTTAAAAGTTTAAAGAACAATCATACCGTTGCAATTGGATAGAGTAAAAATACGAGCCACACGTCGGCAGTGACATGAGTTTTCATCGTACAGGCGACAGGCCTTCGCAATGGCGTTTAATGTTACGTCAGCATATTTTTTTCAAAAATGATTTCTTCATGGATATGAAACACGGTTAATTAATCTTGAGCTGATCGATACCCAAACACACCTGTGTAGATATGCAGCAGTGTATATGCATACAATTATTTGTGCTTGATTGACTAAATTTTGGCGACAATACTTTTGTCCATCGTTATAAGTCCATTGAACGAGATCATATGTATGTGATAGTGTTGATATAAGGTGTTTCTACATTTAACTATTAATGCAGCATTAGTATCATATCAAAAACACTCTTCCTGGATAGATAAATAACATAATTTTATTACACCCTTGAACTATTTGCAGGTATTTATTCTGAATACAATCAGACGATTGTTTACATGTAATAAACTGTAATTCTCCCCATCTTATACAGAGTATTCTCTGTAAATCAACAACGGAAAAAGCCAATTTGATTAAGGTCTCATGCTTCAAAAGTGGTTCACGTATTGATAAGAATATGAAATTCCTTACATAATATTTTCCTTTGCGCTCATCATTCCGATCAAGATGTAAATCTCTAAGATAATGTGTAGGTTTAAAGTTCGATGATTAAGTAGCGAAAGATATTCGCATGAATAGTGAAGAAATATTAGCGTCAACAATACTATCGCTGATGTAATTTAAGTTATAAAGGTACATGAAGGACTTTTAGAGTAAGTGTAGTATGTTACACTTCGGCGATCAATAAATACAAAAATTAATATTTTACATGAGTATTTTACATTAAGCTAATTGTTCCTAGTTCATCTCTTGTAATCCCCTCTTGTAAACATTGTCGAATTTAGCGTGACTGTGCAGTGTGGTATAGCCAGACTGCAGAAAACTTCCTTACACACCTTTAATTTACAAACTATTTCATATTACATGAAAACGTATATCTTTTCTTTGAAGAGACTGGTGTATCCGTATTTAACACGACTCAAGATGGGCCCCTTAATTTATTTAATTAAAGTTTTAAATTCGACCCAGCAGTGTTCAACTTGTGTTTTCTTTTATTATTATTGTTGCATCCAGATAACCTTGTCTTGATTAACAAGATATTTGTTGTGAACACACGATTGATGAATCTCTGAAGTGATGTCCACATCCAAATACTTAATCGATTTTCTAGTTGTCAGTAAATATAAATAAACAAATACCTTTGCTTATGAGTAAATTAACATATATAATTAGAACATAACGACTTTTCCATCATGGCCTTGACTACCATACTCACCATAGACATACCCTGTAAATGAAAGCGAAATAGTCCATAACCATAAGAAATACCTGCAGTGGACTTTGATATGGAAAGTTTTTCAATCCTGATTTATGAATATAACTCTCAAATGCAGTTCATTTTCAAGGAGCGGCTGTGTAAAGGAGGTGTGGGCGGTTCTTCCATGCTTGTTTGAACATGCATGGAACATGAATACCATGTATTAAAACCCTTTCCCAAGTTCATTCATTCAATTTCTTTCCAGAATACAAAGGTAAGCACAAGATTGAGGGGCGGTCGGGTAGCCTAGTGGTTAAAGCGTTCGTTCGTCACTCCGAAGACCCGGGTTCGATTCCTGACATGGGTACAATGTGTGAAGCCCATTTCTGGTGTCCCCCGCCGTGATATTGCTGGAATAGTGCTAAAAGCGGCGTAAAACTCACTAACTCACAAGATAGATGGTGTCTACATTGTCGATGTTTTCACCTCCAACCCAGTGCATTTTTTAGTGAGTGACTTGGGTTCTACGACGCTTTTGGGATCATATCCGCAATAGCCCGGCGGGGTCACCAGAAATGGGCTTCGCACATTGTACCCATTTAGTACTAAAAGACGTTAAAAGGTGGTACTTGTTGTTACCCTGTCTGGCGCTCGGCATTAAGGGGCTAAAACAAGGACTGGTCGGCTCGGAGTCAGTATACTGTGTCTGAGTGACGTATTCATGTTAAACTGCGGCATGGTACCTCAGTGAGCTAGCACTATAAAATCGGCATCAGTCCCGACTAGTACAAGCAGCCACACACACACATGCACGCCGCTAAATAAGTGCAATAATCTTGGACGCGACTTTAAAACCCATGTCACCTCACCTGATGTATCATAATGACCAAAGTGGCAAAGCAAACTACGGTTGATATTAACATAATATTACCAACCCTAAATCCATCTTAATATGTCAGTAAGATATGCAAGGTCATTATAATTGGTTTGCTTTTAAGAAACTATATCATTTGCTGGCAGTATGTATTTTCATAATTTTGTGAACTTACTGTTTGCTTCTTTGTTGCATAAGGCCACAATCGGAAATATTTCATCTGTGAGACGACAGTCTGTAAATTATCGAATCTACACAGCCCACCTACGCAATTGGGACACGATGACATGCATCAACCAAGTCAGCCAGCCTGTCCCCACAATCCCTTTAATCGCCTCTTATATGAACTAATTGATACAACTGAAGTTGACACAATGAATACAATCGATAAGTTTGGTTAAATTCAATTATTTCACAGCCCGTATTTGTTTTGAATAAATAACTAGACTTTGAGATGAAACAACTAATCTTATCACAACACTCTGTACAAGTGGGTTTGTGAAAGAGTGTCCGTGTTTGAACTTTTCTATTACTGTACTTTATTATCAACACAAAAAACCCATGAATTTTGATCGTTATTTATTGATTCCTGGCTTAAATCTGTAAGTAGAATTAAGTTAATTATCATTCGCTTATTGTACTTGAAAACTGATATTTGCATCCTATATTTGTGGTAAACTGAATATGACATTTTATACTTATGTACGTGCAATGTATATATTTCTTGAAACATATTTAGGAACAATAGTATAATATATACAAAAAAATCTAGTTATGTTTACTATGCTCCATCTAAAATACCCAATGTGTTTACATGTCTGCATATGCACACATTTAGCGTATTATAATGCTTTGTGAGACAAAAGCTAAACTATAAATTTGTAATTCCTCACAAATTTTATTAATATTTTTGCATAATAAATTATGTTCAAGTAATATAAGGGCTGTGCATGCTTTCCGTGAAGAAAAGGTGAAATATTTTGGTTTTATTAGACACAGCATGGACTAAAAATGATAATAGAAAAAAAAAATTAATGCGTCAAAACGGAATACCGATATATTTAAAGTAGATAGCTGTGTGAAAGCAATTATAACACAAATTAAATCACTTTATCTATGATCATATTTGCAGTACTTTTACGTTTTTATAATTGTCATTTAGGGCATTGCGTTACTGTTGCACGTGTAATTATTTCACGTGAAGCTTGTATTGTCCTTGTCTGTGTATTATTGATATGCAAACACACGCCGATTGCGACAGAAACCTACGTAGTGGTTATCATGAATATATTTTTTCATTGCCTGCTTGTGCCTATCGCAATACAATACTAATCAACAATAACACCAATTAGCATAAATAGATTCGTATCAGCCAATGTATGTATGTCATCACAATACCATGCTTCACAAAACTAAAGGGATTTTCACATTGATCTCGTATAAATAAAATTAATTATACCATTAATGGACACAAATGTCCTAGCAAAATAAACGACTGACATCAGTTACTTAAAACATGAAGTTCTGTGCACTGTACATAGACATTTGTAGATGAATATACTCAACGCCATATACGATTCGCTTGGTGACATTGTCTTTAAACTGTGTCGAGAAACCTAAGTGAAAATAAACACATATATATTATATCTAAATGTTATGGAGTGAAATCATTACTGGGACACGAGACCTTACCTTCCACCTGTCATGACTGTCGCCCAGGTAAGCGCGATGGCAAGTGTGAACAGCAAAACGCAAACTACAGTGTGTCAGTCAGGCCTTATCACATTGTCGTCACATCTGTGTCATGTAAAGACCTTGACCTTTGGACTCATTTGCTTCGAAACGAGGGCATGTCAGACCCGCCTCCTACCGACACACACCTTTCGCAAGCACCTTTCGTTGGGGAAAGAGATCGACCAACTTGCACACTGTACATTTAACGGACTGATTTTTTCGATATACACCAGATTTGATATACAAAATATACGATAAATTTACTTGTCAGTGTGGTGACAACGACTCTCACAGATTGTATTAGTGTTTTCTCGGGATTGCTATGAAAAATATCACATCGATGTTACTGGGTATGCTTACATGTTAATTCCATGTACACGATTCTGTATCAATAGCCATTGAATGTTGTGATAAAATCGGATGAACGAGCGGTGTGTAAACTCGTTATAACGCGTGATCGGGAGACGTGATGAAAAATAGGAGGAAGAACGTGGTTGGGTTTCGAGTTTTTTTCATGAGCTCATGTTTTGATTAATTGACTTGCAGGGTCAGCATTGATTTGAATGAATGTGGTATTAGATATAATAGCACTATACGATACATTTGACATTTTGCGTGACTAAATAGTGTCAACTGTGTGGGAATGGGATGAACACTGGAGTTTATAGTACGTGTCTGTATTTGAATGCTGATCGATGTGAATGGGTTTGGGTGATAGGTATTAGTGTGTGGTGTGGGAGGTGAAGTGAGATGGGCCTTAACATTGGGTTCATGATTATTGCACATAAATAGCGGTCCGCATGCATGCGCGTGCAGCTGCCGGACTAATGACGGCCCACAGCCCACTGAGAGACCATGTCACAGTTTAGCATGGATACCAGACTCACACACATATAAATACTGACACCGAACTATAGTTAGTCCCCATAATGCCGACCGTCAGGCTGGGTAACAACATTGTCGGATCCAGAGCGGGGCGGAGTGTGTTGGGTGGGGGTAGGGGTTTGGTATGTTTGTGTGCAGGACAACTTGTACGTGTAAACTGGCTATTATGTGCAACCCCCTTTTCAAAAGCCTGGATCCGCCTCTGAACAGCAATTACCTACAATATTTCAATGTTTTTTTTAGTTTGACGCCACCTGGGGATCGCACACCGACCGGGCAGACTCTATACCTGGTGGTAACTCACCCAGACCAAGCCTCTGCGGTATATTTATCGAGAGGTGGGCCTGTTGTACACGCGCGTATAGTTCAACTATACTGTATTTAAGCTTCCGCGCGACAAAACGAAATGCGCGGCTAATAATAGACAAATCCCAGTCAAAATTATGACAATTCCATACATTATTGTCTAAATAAAAAATAATGAAAAGCGAACGCAGTATTGTTGGGCACATTTTTCATAACAAAAATAGCGGTAAAGGAATACTTTATTCTGTTAGCCTTAATATACGGAGTCTAACAAGTTTTATGAAAGTGCTAATATATAATGAATTCAAGATTATTCAATTTCACACATTTAAAGCAAACGTTTTTAACATCTGTGCTGTTAGAAATGTGAAGATTAAAAACATCTGTAGTTTGATTAAGTCTCTTTAGACGCCGTGGTACTATATGACACAACCCTAAACTAATAATTACATGCGCATTTGTAAAATCCGTTTGATTAGATATAGAACGCCATATACATAGATGACACCTTTTCTAGCCAACAAAACCACCGAGACCCATCTACGAGCCAATGACAGAGGCAGCTACAGCTGCAGTGCAAGTCCCGACCCCAGAGGACGTATATACCAGACCCCCTGCAACTGTAGCCACCAATACATTGGAGAAACGCTCAGACCCATCAACACCAGACTCAAAGAACATCAGCCCTCTGTCAACGAACTAGAACTGAAATCCGCTATTTCCAAACACATCCTCAAGAGCCAAGATCATTACATCATATGGGAATCCACCAAAGTTTCTACCAACAACAACTAGCGACAAAGACTACAAGACGCCAATGACGCCATCAGGAGACACGAGCCAGCCATGAACCGTGACCAGGGAACCTATCTGCCTAGTGCCTGGGACTTAATGTTTTGAAACTGTCTGTGCTAATTATCCAGTTGGTTTCCATCCATTGCACCCACTGTTTCGTCCACTGCCATTTCAATTGCTATTACCAATCAGGGATAATTTAAGTCCTGGCTTCCAGTTGACCTATCAGCGCCAGTTGACTGATGGTTTCCCTTGTTAAGTTTCCACCTTTGTTGTCTTATTACTTGTTCTTATAGGTACATATATAAGTTCTCTGCTTCATTGCAATTCTTCACCTGATAAAGGAGTAAGTATATACTCCTAAACGTTGTGTTCCTCACAATAAAGAAATTTACATCCATAAATTCACTTCTAAATGTCTTTTAAAGACTTATAATCATGTTGTTAACCATATTCTGCTCTCAACAATAAGATTAATTTATTTATCAAATATTAATCAACAAAAAACGTTCTTTGTTGTATTCATTAACAGGTTGAGTGATATTTGTCAAATCCATTGTTATCACAAGACGGGGAAGCAACTGACTTCTACTCTGGCCATAGTCATGAAGCGTTCATAAAATATTTTATCCATGTATGAGGCGAATCACTGTCCACTTCAAACAATGTATACAGGCCTTCCATCAATAGTTTGTTTTTATTATGCCTTCTACCTGGATTGTAAATATACTTGTCCACTCTATATATTTGTTAACATGTACTTGGAAATGGAATAAAATTTATTTAGATGCAAAAGAAGTCTAAGTCCAAAAACATAATGTTTGGGTACCTTTAACCACCTGCAGCCCTCAGTCCTATTCCACACAACCAATGCCTATCAGGAGTTATTCCCCCGAATAGACAACTGAAGGCATCGTCAATGTTGTCAGCAATAATTTGACATACGTTTTGGTCACGGTAATCAAACGGATGAGCAGACAGAGAATGTATAGTGTGATTAAAAAATCCGAGAGGGAAGCATGCCAACTGGGCGCCGACCTGATCGTTGAAATTGCGCAGCGTGTCAAATACCGGGAACCAGTTTCAACTCCAGCGAGGGGGATCCCATAAATAGCCGATTGTTTTCGTATTGGGCTATTTCCGGGGTTTTCTTTCCAATCTAATTTTGGGTAAGTTTTTATGATTAAGTACTGCCCTTTAAACTAGCCCACATAGCCATGGTAAATTACTTACAATTCTGAGTTAATTTTACATGCATATAAGTACTGGCAGTTTACTTGCGTTACAAACAGCATCGTATGCGATCTCGTCATGAGAATCCTCAGTCAGTTTTGACAGCACAATTTACATGAACACGATAAAGGAAGTGTTGGTCCTTGAGGCATTAGCATATCGGATTTATACAATGGTTACGGGTAATCTCATTATCCAAATGTAGCAGCCATGCAATTTCGGTGTCATCTGATAGGATTCGAACCACAGGTTATCCGATCTCAAGGCAGATGCATTGTCAACATGACCAAAGGCTCAACCTCACTAGCCTAGTGTCAGTCCTACTATTAAAATAGTGCCAACTGAAGCCTCTTCTTATATACAGTGACGTAACTACACATAAAGGCAAAACAACAATTGCCTTCATAAATTGTTTCTACCTGCCTTTCGCGGCAATCCACCGGTCTGTCTGCTAGAGTAGTTGCCCTTTATCAAAGGGAAGCTACTCTAACCCTAGTCTATGAGACGTCACGTTTGTTTAGATTCATAACGTGCCGAAGTGCATTCGGATGTACACATAATGACAAAACGAAACAAAGTAACAATTCGGGCATAATTCGGCCATTTCCAACGGTCCTAAGTCGCAGAGGTCTACAAGCACAGATATGGAAACTGATCCCACAAGGCTGGTGTCCTTGCTAAATTGTTTCGGAATTAATTTCTCCAAAGTTGCCAAAACTTGTATAATGCCTTAGCTACGTCACAGTCACACATATATGTTCAGTGTATTAGACTAATTCTTATTCTTTTGATAACAAAAGCAACTATCCCAGTTGTTTCTCCAGATTTCCGATGGTAAATTCTGACTCGATTGCCGAATGACAAAGGCGACGCCATGTTTGTTTGTAAACGCTGAAAGTAGTCCCTATATTGACCTTTGATATTTGCATCTCTAGCCGTATATGACCCTATAACGGATAATTCTATTATTCGTTGGCTTTATCCTACCGAGAAACCATTATATAAAAAATAACAATATATTGTTTGCCATTATTATTATCAAATGGAAAACTATAATATTAAGTAAAGGGGAAATACTGTCCGGGAATACTGACTGAAACCATGCTCAATTTGATATCAGAGTCAAAGTAGAAACAATGTTTTGACGAAAGATTTTATATAACTGTAGGCTTTCTTTCATAGCTGTGGTTAACATATATTTTCTCTATTCACTGTGTTTTATTGATGCAACTGACATGCGACAGTGTTACTATTTTAGGAAAATTGGGTGAAAAAATCAAAACAAGGCAAAATGGGCGCGCGCCTCACTAATACCCCCGATCATCGACTCCAACATCAGCTGAAGAACTATTTTGATATTTGAGATATAAAAAGGATTCATCACGAGTGTTTTTTAATATGGGTAATATCAACCGAGTCTTAATTAATCGGTATTTGCCGAGCCTTTGGCGAGGCAAATACTGATTAACGGGACGAGGTTGATATTTCCCATATTAAAAAACACGAGTGATGAATTCTATTTATCATTTTCACATTTTTGCTTCCCAATTAAGGAATAATTGCATTAAAAATTAACATCAGCAACTTGTCGAAATCTTACGTATAGATTGTTCGTAGTGATACATGTTTTCCATAGCCGTGTAAATCAAAATAAACAACCTCCATCGCCTTTATGGCATATTCCTTCGCTGAGAAAAAAAGTTCCTCGGATTATTTCAAACAATATACTTGAACAGACTTTTGCAGAATAATTGAAATAATGTCTCCAACATCAAAGGTATCCATGTTGCACCGGCGAAAAAAGTCCCACTTCCGGTTATCTAATTTGCATA